CCTGGGGGCTGCTGTGAGTGTCGCTGAGGCTTAGGTGGACATTCCTTGTCCTCTGCTGTGGTCATAGGCGTCCTTCTTTAGTAACTACGGAACCCTTATACCACAGCTCGGTAGTCACCCATGAGCCATGCTCCTCCGAGGACACAGCCCCGTCAGCTCAGAGTGACCACCAACAGGTGCCAGGCTCCGTGCAGGGTGAAGTGATCCAGAAGATGGCCAGGGGAGAGAGTGTGCCTCGGACATACAGGACACACTGAACTAATCTCTGTATAGCCTGGGATTCTCATGGAATTGCTGCTGAGGACTTGTGGGGTGACTGGCAGGCTCTGGAACCAGCCAGCTCTGAGGGTGCCAGCTGACGGGGGACAGAAGGAAAAGGAGGGGCTTCCTAGGTACAGAGAGAGGCATGGGGATCTGGGAAGGATCTGGGGCTATTTGCAGGTGGGGAGCCAGTGAAAGCTGGACCCCAGGTCCTGGACCCCATTTCCAGCACCATGGGAGAAGGGGCACCCGGGCAGCAGTCCAATGGGAAGTGGGCAGAGAACCGACACAGCCCAGGAGCACCAGGCACTCCAGTGACAGGACATTTAATTCCTGGTCTAGTTACCTCCGTACAAGGGACATGTCTCATGGCAGACAGGCATTCCTGCCTGCAGAAGAGACCTCTGACATTTGAGAGTCCTCACTGACCACATGCCCTTAACTCTCAAGGGAGGATTTGACCCTTGGAGCTGTGTACTAACCCGCCCCCCATGCCCCCAACCAATTTCAGGTCTGTTGGTCACCTACCATCTCACCCCTTCCCCAGGCCACACAGCAGTTGGGACGCTCACGCCCAGGGTTAGGAAGTAGGACCCCATCCTAGGGCCATATCAGGAGACTGGAGATGGCTGCTCACCTGTTATTGCCCCATCAGGGAAGGGCAGACAGGGACTGCTCACCCCGATGAAGATGGTTTTAGCCGTGGGCACATCCTCAGACATGAGATACCATAGTCCCATGCCTCAACTTGACCCTGCCCAATGGGGAGGGTCCCTATCCTTGGCCCCAGGTCCAGTGCCACCCACTAGGCTGCCCTGTAGCGGGTAGGAGGTTGGCGCCAGGTGACCAGAGCCTACAGCGTCCTTCAGTTACTTCAAGTGCCCTGAGTATATGCAGACATTCCAGGCCTCTGGAGAGCATCACCCAAAAGACCTTTTAGACCCTGGACAGGGACAAGGGTGTTTCATTGGGTGGAATGAGATCAGGTAACCATGGTGGCAGAGCCCAGGGTCTGCCCAGGCAGCTGCCATGCCTGCCCCTTACTACTGACCTAATGGTCTGGAGGGGGTAAGCCAAGCAGCGTCAGGGTGAAGACCTTGCCTGGATGGAGTCTCACAGCAGCTAATGGACAGGAGAAAGAATCTCAGGGATACGGAATGGTGCAGGCTTTCCCTAGCCTGGTTTCTGAGCAGGGGGGAGCTGGCTTTGCAGGCCTGGGAATCTCCATGGCTGCCGAGATCTGGCTTATCTTGCAATGCCTTCATGCCCAGCTGCTGGCCACAAACCTAAGGGGCTGCTAGGGACCTACTTGGGGCATATGAAGTGGCCATGAGCAAAAAGTCCCCAGAGTGCCTCTACCCAGCTGTGGCCCACCCCTGCCTGCCTGGCCCAGTAAATGCCATTATCTCAATTAGCAAAGTTTAAAATAAAGGCAGCTGGGGCTGGGGAGATGGCTCAATGGTTAGGAGCACTGGCTGCTCTTCCAGAGGACCTGGGTTCAATTCTAGCAGCTCACAGCTGTCTGTAGCTCTAGTTCTAAGGGGTTCAACACCTCCATACAGCCACACAGGCAGGCAAAACCACCAGTTTTTTGAGATAGGGTTTTTCTGAGACTTTGAAGCCTGTCCTAAAACTAGCTCTTGTAGACCAGGCTGGCCTCGAACTCACAGAGACCCGCCTGCCTCTGCCTCCCAAGTGCTGGGATTAAAGGCCTGCGCCACCACCGCCCGGCAAGATCAATGTTTTAAAAGTCAGCTGACTGTGGGGTCTACTCAGACTCTCAGCTGTTCCATGCCTCAGTTTCCCTACTGAGAAGTTGGGGGTGATTTCAGGGCACCTTTTCAGAAGGGTCTGGTATAGTGGCTTTGGTAGGGTAGGTGCCGACAGGTGCAGCCTCAGAGGCCAAGCGGCGTGTGCTGCCAGGTAGTTGGCTTCTGAATTCTTAGGCCTGGCAAGACCCTGGCATCCAGTCCTTGGGCCTCTGATCCACTCACACTCGGCCCCGCAGTGGGCTCTGTCTCGTGGCAGGAACACCACCTCTAGGCTGACGGTCCCTAGACAGGAGCCTGTCCACTCTGGCTGTCCAGAAGCAGCAGATCCGCAGCAGGGGCGAAGGGCACGCTGGCTCTGCTCGTGGGAATTGAGTGCCAGCATTAAAGAAAGGCATGTAGCACCACCACCTGGAAGGAAAACTCCAGGACAGTCTGGCCACACTGTGAGAGCTGCCCCAGAAGACAAACAACAAAACGGGCAGGTGAAAAGCAAGACAAAAAGGAGGAGAGCACGCTGGACCAACTACGGCTGCCTTTGCCCGATGCTTAACTACAAGTCCCAGAATGGCGGGCACCACACGAACACGAAACACAGAGAGCTGGCCACAGGGAATGAGACTTCCAGGGAGCCAGAGACGGTGCTCACAGCTGTACAAATGTGTGCACACTTATGAACCGGGCTTCAAAGCCTAAAGCAAAAGCAGACTAGCTGAGGGGAATACGGTAGGTGAGAGCTTCTCTCCTCAGAACTGAGGAGCTGGAGTCAGGAAGGCCACAGATGTTCAGGGCAGTGAATTAGCCTTGGGGACCCAGGGTGTAAGAGTCGCACTATGACCCAAAACTGTAGCTTATTCTTTTATTTTTCTCTGTGCATGTGTCTGTGTCTGTGGTATGGTTGCTTGTAAACGTGTTCACACACATGTACATGCAAGTGTGGTTGCACATACAAGCATGGATGCGGAGGCACAACGCTGATGGGGTTTTCCCTGGTCCCTCACTCCCTGCGCTCTTCTCTGATGCTGGATTTCTTAACTGAAACCAGAGCTCCTCCATACGGCTCGTCCTGCCAGCCGCCTTTCCGAACGCTAATCACAAGCCCCGTGCCCAGCCCACAGCTGTGGTTTAACACCCCTCCTCCCCGTAAATGTGTGTGTGTGTGCGTGCACACGCGTGAGTGTAACAGTGTGCATGTGAAGGTTCTCCCGCCTTTCCGTGCTGTGCTGGCTAGTTTACATCAACTGACGTAAACTAGAGTCACTGGAGAGGCGGGAGCCCCAGCTAAGACAACTCCTCCACAAGATCAGCTGTAGGCAGTCTGCAGGGCATTTCCCTAATTAGTGATTGACAGGAGAGGACCCAGCCATTGTGCGTGGCGCCGCCCCTGGACTCCTCGAGAAAGCTGGCTGAGCAAGCCATGGGAGCAGGTCGGCAAGCAGAACCCCTCCGTGGTCCCTGCTTCAGTTCCAGCCTCCAGGTCCCTGCCCTGTCTGAGTTCCTGTCCTGACGTCTTTTGAGGACGGTGTAGGAGTGGAGGCTGAATCAACCGCTACCTGCCCACATTGTTTTTGGTCACGGTGTTTCGGCAGCAATAGTCAGTCCAACTGAGACATTTGGGTTTGGGGGTTGAACTCAGGCTGGTAGGCTTCTGTGACAAGCCTTTTACCTGTTAAGCCACCTTGCCAACCAAACCAGAACCACACGCAAGTCAGAATCAGGCTGCAGCTTCTGAGGCACCCTGAGGCCGGCCTCCGCTTCCCCCTGTACCCAGGCCCTCAAGTACTACCTGTGCCCTGAACTCACATCTGCCTCCAGATTGTGGGCACAGCCTCACCCTGGTCCTGCCTCTCCCTTCTGGTCTGAACCCCCAAACTGAGGGCCCTGGAGCCCACATACTGAGCTACAAGGAGACAGGGTGTGGAGATATGATACCATACCACACGCGATCTCCTAACCCGCCTTCTCTGAGGAGCCCAGGCACAGAGCAGGCCAGGGACTCGGTCAGCAGGTGGCCCTTCGTAGAGCAGCTGTGGACTAGTCAGGTCCGCATAGGTAGCAGCTTCTAGGAAACAGCGGAGTGGATTGGTAGCCAGCTGGAGCTACTCTACACCCCACAGGGCCTTCCAGGGCTCTGGCCCAGGGCCATGCAGGTTTGGGAAGGCGTTGGTGCAGTGAGGCCTGCTCAGAAGACCCTGGCCACGCCAAGGCTCTAGGATTCTGCCTCCCGTGTGTGAGCTAAGGTCTTCTCAACTGTGTGGGCAGGTCACTTAGGTTGGGAAGGAACAACAGCCCACCAAGCAAGGTAAAGGGTACTGAGAAGTTCTGGGGTCCCAACACCCTCATGGGTGGCTCACAACTGTCTGTAACTCCAGTTCAAGGCGGTCCTAATGCTTTCTTCTAGTCTCTGCAGGTATCAGACACACTGGTAGGACACAGACATACATGGAGGTAAATCACACACACACATGTAAACTTTTTAAATGAATAAATATTTTTAAAAAAGAAGCTGCCAGGCGGTGGTGATGCACGCCTTTAATCCCAGCACTCGAAGGCAGAGGCAGGCTGATCTCTGTGAGTTCGAGGCCAGCCTGGTCTACAAGAGCTAGTTCCAGGACAGGCTCCAAAATTACAGAGAAACCCTGTCTCAAAAACCTAACAAAACAAAAGCTGAGGTTTCTGGACTGGGCTAGAGACACAGCACCTTCCAGGTGAGTCCACTACACTCTGGAGAGGTCACGGGGGGAACACATGGCCACTGCCTGCTGGGGACTGGCACTGAGAGCAGAGAGGCTGGCTGCAGGCCACTTTCCTGCCAGCTTGGACAGGTGGGACAGGGAGAGGCGAGAGTCAGAGCTAGTCCTATGGCCATGAAAGGGGGCTCTTTGGGGTCTCCAGCTCCTTGCCCCCCGAACCCAACCCAGTAGAAAAAGACAAACAGGTGACACGAAACATTAAAAAAAAAAAAACACCTAAAAAACTAACTTATTTTACTATAAAACAGCTAGCTGCAGGACGCTGACTGTGGCATCCTGAGCACCGGAGTTCCATGGGGAGAGGGGGGCCTCTCACGCCAGCCGCGGTTCTACCCTTAGCCCTGGACACCAGCTGCAGGGCTGAGCATCCGCTCAGGTCTGGGTTTCCATCCAGGGTGATGTCATTTAGCATTCAAGGATGGCTGTCTATGTTGCTCCAGCAGCTCCTCGAGGTGGTCCGCCCGCTTCACAGCAGCCTGCGACACAGTCGAGTGAGGCCCTGGATGCCCCCACCCCAGGCTAGACCACCACAGACCCACGGAGGGACCCACCTCATGCTGCTTCCGGAGACTGTTCACGGCCTCCTCCTTCCTCGCAAGAGCTATCTTCACCCTGTGATGATGTGCAGTCCCAGGTCAGCCTGGGGGCTGTTACCTACCGCTTGGTCTCAGCCCTGCTGACCCTGACCTGAGCAGCCGGCCCTGGGCCACTGTCTCCAGGAGAACCAATGCTAAAGTGGCCCTTGGAGGGGGTTGGGCATGGCGCCGCACAGACCAAGACAGATGAGAAGCCACCTCATGGCTCTGCCTTACTCTCTGTTGGTCACGTAGGCAGGCAGCCTCAGAAGGACTAAGAGTCTGGGTGCTCCAGCCAAGACCCTGCCCACCTCCCTGGAGATGTACATGAGGGCCCTCGAACTGACACTCGGGCGGAGGACACCCAGCGTTCCTGAGCACGAAGCTGGAAGCCATGTGAGCTCACGGGCTATGTCTACGTTATGCGGGAGACAGTGTCAGGACTTCAGGTAGAAAGATGCGTGACTGCTCCCACCGTAACTGCTCCCCGTGCTCCTACCTGAAGTCCTGACCACCCACCTCTGATGAACCTCATCTAGCTCCATCTGCTGGTGGGCACGCAGCTCAGCAAGCTCCGCTCTCAGCCTCTGGTTCTCCTCCTGGGAGGCTGCCAGCTGGTCTGTGAACTCCTGCCGGACCACCTGGGCCAGGCTGGCCCGTTCACTGCACATCTGTGTGTTCACCTGGGCGGCAGGGGAGGCTGTGAGGGGGCTGCAGGGATGGACGGCTCATGGAGAAGGGGCCTGAGGCTACTCACCGCCCGCACGTCTTCCAGCTCCTTCTCCTTCTGCCGCACTAGGGACTGCAGACGCTCCTTCTCCCCTTCGGCCTCCCCAAGGCGCCCCTTCAGCTCCGTGCACCGTTCCTGGAGTCTCCGCTCGGACTGCTCCAGCTCGGAGAGCTCCACTTCATACTTGTCCCGCACACGCTTCACACTGGCAGGCGGAGGCAGGCGGCGGTATGAGGATGAACTGCAGCTCCCACCGCACAGCTCCGGCCCTCCCCATCAAAAGGCAGGAGGCAGCTCACCGGCTCTCGGCGGCCCGCTCACTCTCCTCCTTGGCCAGCGTCATGTCAGCCTCCAGCCGGTGGATGACCAGCTCGATCTCCTGGTCTCGGCCTTTTCGGATCTCCTCCTTCAGCTCCCGCTCCCTGGTCAGCAGCCACGCTTCCTGCGGGACACACAGCGGTGGGAGAATCCGCCACCAGGACAGAGGCAGAACAGCCTCGCGGGCTCTAGGGAATGGTCCCTGCTTTGAGCCACAGGGAAATAAATACACGCATAGGTCAGGGGTGAAGGACTCCAGGCTGCCTAGACCCCCAGAGGGCAGCGTCATGTCTTCAGGACCTCCTGGGAGCACAGAGGCATGGGATAGCCTTGGCTAAGGAGGCTGTTCCTCTCTCTCAGGTAACTGGAGTCCGAGACAACTACTACTACTGCCTGCTAGACAGGCCGAGCCAAGGTGGCAAACCTGCCCTGTGGCCAAGAGGCACAGGGTCTTAAGGGCACACAGGTGGGGTGACTCCTGGAGAGAGGGACACGTCCTCTCAGGTCCCATTTCTTCCTGTTCTGCTTCTAACCTCCCTGGATCCCTGTAGACAGCGGGCAGCATGGCACAGCTGGGGATGAACCACCATGCCCCCCCAAGCAGTTAGGAGTGATCCCCAGAAGCCAGCGTCCAGAGGGCCCTGAACAGCAGCCCACTCTGGCTGGTCCTACCTCCTTCTTGGTGCAGTTGGCCATCCACGCCTGTCTCTCGGCTTCCAGCTGGTCCTTCAGGGCTTTCAGCTCCATCTGGAGGGGACAGGCTGTCAGCTGCCTGAGGGCCACTCCAGGGCCCCGCCCACCCTGCTGAGGGGTCGGGCAGAAGGGACCCGTCCTCCACTGGAGGCCAGCTCGCCAACCTGGTGCCTCTGCTCTTGCTCCTCCCGGCTCCTCTCGAACTCGGCTCTCAGGGCTCGTGTCAGCGTGGCGCTGCTCTCCTCCAGCTCTGCCCGCTGCCTGCAGGCCGGTGCGTCAGGGAACAACGGGCCATTGTAAGAGGGGTTGGGCAGGCCGGGGGTGGCCGTGAGAACAGCCCGCAGTGGTACCTGGCTGCCTGCTGGCCCAGGCGCTCCTTCTCCTCCGCCACCTCGTTGTAGAGCCGCCGCCGCTGCTGCTCCAGGGCCCGATGCTCCTGCTCCAGGTGCTGCTCAAACCTGCAGGATGGTGAGGATGCTTACACCCAGGGCGGGCGGCCATGGGAGTCAGCGTCAGTCACATCAGCTCCCAGGGACCCTCTGCAGCCCCCTTCAGCTGCGGTCTCATTCAAGGCTGTGAAAAGGCCTCAGCCGGTGGCTCGCTGTGTCCACACACTGGCCTGGCCCTGCTTAGTTCCACTCTCGGAGGAGAGCCAGGGACCAACCAGAGACTTGGTCCGAGCAAGCCCCTGCCATGGCTGGTACCCTTGTCCTTCCCGAAAGTGGGAGAGCACAGGTCGGCCAGACGTGTTTCGAGGGCCAGTAGGTCACGTGGGAGGAGCCAGGCTGGAGGCACAGACAGTGGAGGAGGGGTCGTATACTGCTCACTGGTCCCTCAGCCACCAAGCCCAAGCTGGACATCACAGCCCGATCACACCTTAGGGGGTGAACCCTCGGGCTGAGGAAAGGAGGCAGCAGAGCAGCCTCCCCATCACCCACACGTCACCCACACGTCACTCTGGGCTCGGCTCAGCAAGTCCAGCTATATCTGAGTTTTGTAACCGCAATCTCGTGTCACCCCATGAGGGGACCTCACAGCATCGGCCTGGCAGGTGGACTGCATGCGTTCTACCCAGGCTGCTGCTGCGCGGGGGAAACCGGGGGCTGCCCTGAGACCTCGGCCTCCAGTGCCCTCCTACCGCTGCTGGGCGCGCTCCCGCTCCTGCTTGCCCAGGGCCTCCTTCTCCCGCTCCAGATGCTCCCGCAGCTCTTCTGCCTGGCGCAGGTGGCGCTGTGCGGCCTGCTCATCGCGCTGCAGCAGCTCAGCCTCGTGCAGGCCCCGGAGCCTCCGCACCTCCTGCTTGTGCTTCGCAATGAGTTTCTGGATCTCGGGCTCCAGACCTGCAGAGACGGAGGTTGCACCAGAGACAGGACTGCAAGGCCCCTCCTGTCCAGCCATGGCTTCAAAGCATAGCAAGCTTGGTACTATGGAGAGAAGAGCCAGGGACTGCACCCCAGAAACCTAGCTCCAGTAGTGTCCTGAACACAGTGGCTTTCCCAGCCTGCGGGATGCACAGCTCCCCAGCCCCTTGGTGTGTCTCCCAATGGCACGGGGCCCAGGATCCTGGTCAGGCCAGGTTAAGAGTGCTCCCTAAAACCACCTAAGAGTCCATAGTTTCTTCACATCCCGACTCTGTCAGCTTGAGGGGCCCTGGCACTTCTTTCCTGTGGTTTTCTCTAATGTCTGCCGTGACCTACACGACCACCTTGCTGTTCCCACACAAGCCTCCACAAGGTGGAATGGAGTTTGTATCTACCTGCCACCGGCAGCCTTAGCCAGGGACAGCTCTGCTTGGTACCACAACACATGGGACAGGAGTTACCATTCTCTCTGTAAAGTGAATGAGGAGTGAAGGCCCCACCTCTGACTGTGATTTCTTTGATCTTTTTCGTCTTCTCGTTGATCCACTTCTCACGGCGGATCTTCTCAGTGGCACTCATGAGCTCTTTGAGTTTCTTAATCTCCTGGGCAAAGAACACAGGAAATCGGGATGCAGAGATGAGGGGGGCATCCCGAGCCCCGTTCCCTTGCCTTCTCCTGGGCCTGTGTTCTGCAAGCTCCTTCCTCTCCCCAGGTAGGGCAGTTACAGCCACTGGCTTGGAGAGGTCTCATCCCCCAGAGGGATGCCACCACGCCCTGGAGCTGAGACCTTACCGACAGGCAATGAAGGGACACAGAGAGGAAAAGCTGTCTGGGAGCTGCTGTGCCCTTCCTGCTGACAGACGCTAACCACAGGGACGAAGCAAGCTTTCCTAAAGACACCGCCCACAGAAGCATTAAAGACAGCAAGGAGACTAAAGGCAAACATGATTATGACCTTGTTTTAGCAGCTCTCTCTCATCCCGAAATCTAAGCCTCATATATTCATCCTGCAACCTCACTTAAGAAATTCTTTGACCCTTCCTTCAGCCTTGCACATTACACTCTCACGGTGTAATGCAGAAAGCTGCGGGCGGGCTCTTACAGTCACTCACTGTGAAGAGAGCCCAGCTCTGCCTGCAGGAGCCCCGCTCATACCTGTAGGTCTTCCAAGCACCTCTATCAACTTCTGGGCTTAAGATCTACAAGCCTGGGCTGGAGAGATGGCTCAGAGGTTAAGAGCATTGCCTGCTCTACCAAAGGTCCTGAGTTCAATTCCCAGCAACCACATGGTGGCTCACAACCATCTGTAATGGGGTCTGGTGCCCTCTTCTGGCCAGCAGGCATACACACAGACAGAACATTGTATACATAATAAATAAAAAAATATTTAAAAAAAAAAAAAGATCTACAAGCCTTCTAATGAACCCCGACTCTGACCGACTCTGATGGAAACCGAAGCTCTTTTCTACAGGGAAGCCAAGGACCAAGGCAGAGAGAGAGTTCCTTGGGCTGCGGGGACGGCCTGGAGCAATGACTCCATTCCTGCTGCTGCCGACAGGACCCAGGATTGCCAGAGAGCTGCAGTCTCCAACCCTGGCTGCGGGCTAGGGATGCTGGGTCTCTTTAACAGAGCCGGCCTTCAGGGGATGCCGGGCCTATGCTCTGGGGAGAAGTGCAGCCAGGTGGCTAAGACAGACTTTTAACCAGCTTCTGCTGGCCAATCAGGTGGGAGCTGAGGTGCCTGGTACTGCGAAGATGGGTGGGTTCTGTTCCTCAGGACTTGACTGGAGCAGGCCAGGCTTGGACTCCTGTGAGAAGGGCCAGGGGGCCGTGCATGCTGGCCCAGGATGTGGCAGCCCACACCTTAGGACCTGTCCCTGTTGAACTTGGATACAGTTCAAGAGGAAGAGAAAGAAAGAAAGAAAAAAAAAAGCTAGGTATGGTGCCGTAGGCCTTTAATTGCAAACTCAGGAGGCAGAGGGAGGCGGACCTCTGTGAGCTCAAGGCCAGCCTGCTCTATAAAGTGAGTTCCAGGATGCCAGGGCTGTAATACAGAGAAACCCTGTCTGAACAGAAGAACAAAATCTCAAGAAGAGGGGAACAAGAACAAAGGAACTGGCACTGGCAATCCTGACCTGCATCCTCAGGCCGTGATGCCGTGTGCCTGGCACCAGCCAGGGGGGCTCACCAGTTCGTGCTGCTCCTGCATCTGGGCCACACGCTCCCGACACCGCTGGTCCCCTTGCTTCAGCTCAGCCACCACCGCCTCGCACTTCTCGCTCAGAATCTTCTTGTCTTCGATCAGCTGTGATGGGGGTGGGGTGAGGCTCTTGATGCCACCCCAAGGCACCTCTAACAGGCCAGCTGGAGAACCACGCTGGGGCCTCGGCCACAGCGGTCCTGCGGTCAGCATTACGCTCCAGTCTCGGGACAGTGACACCTCTCGCCCCACATGGCCTCCCAGAGCTGGGTCACCTGGTCGATGAAGGACAAGTGCCGTTGGATGGTGGCCTCATAGTGCTCCTTCTGCTGCCGCAGCTGCCGGCTCAGCTCCTTCTCTGTCTCCTTAACACGTCGGATGGTGAGGTCACGCTGCTGCTCCTGCAGGGGGTCACCAGACCACGTGGGGCATAGCCTCGGGGGTGACGATGGCGCAGACCTCTTCTGCAGGGTGCTGGCAGCCCCCAGCCCAGCCAGCACCCTGGGGTGATGGCTGACGGACTCACCAGAGCTCTCTGCAGTAGAACCATGGCCTGCTTCTTCTCCTCCATCTCCAGCTTCAGCCGCATCATGGATGTGCTCCCCTCAGACCCCAGTGCCGGGGGCCTTGGGCCTGCCTCTAGCACCAGGCCCTAAATACACGACAAGCCTCAGGCAGGCCACCTAGCAGCTACCGCCCGTTTGATGCCCACCCTCCACGGGGAGTCACTGTGTCACAGCTCCACCCGGTTGTGAGGGAACAACAGCTTCACAGGGCATCCGGTCAAGGGACAGTGGGTGACAAAGCCAACCCTGGGAACTGTACTTGTTCCTCGGTGCAGAGGGAGGCTGCAGCCTTGACGCTAACACAAGTCACCAGACAGGAGCCATCTGTCCACCCCTGACTTTCCTGCCCCCACAAGACATCACTTATCGTGGTCTCTGGAGTTCGCCCCAGGAGACCAGAGCCCAGGATGTCAGGACCACCCACCTGGACAGGATAACCCTGTCTAGACAGGAGCCCCGAGAGGGACAAGAACTCAGCAGTGGGACTGCCTGCTGCATAAGGTCCTTGCAGGTGATCATGTCCCACTGGGCACCACCCAGGACTGGCGGCTGGCTACCTCCCGCTGGGACGCCGGCCGGTCCTGCCCCGACTTCTCCATCTCCTCCAGGAAGCTCATGATGCTCTGGAGCTTGGCCTCCGAGAGCAGAGTCCCGTCATCAGGTGGGCCCGGGGGTGCACTCAGTTTCCCAAATTTCTCCAGGTTGTCGGCTGTCAGGGAGTTGGTGTCATCTTCCTGCAGGTGGCCCAGCATTGGAGGCTCTTAGGGAAGCCCGAGGACCTGGGGTCCCTCGGGAACAGTGGGCAGTGAGGTGGGTCATGTTGTCTCAACCTCAAGGACCAGACAGGAAGGGAGAGCAGAGGTCAATAGGCCACACCTGGCCCTTGTAAGGGCCTCGACTAAAGCAGGGATATGGTGGCACCAGCCTTCCCGGACCCCTCGACCTAGGCAGATGGTTGTCAGCGCCAAGGGCCTACTCGCCTCGTGGGTCCAGGCATATCTGTCTTTGTGATAGGTCTTGGGGCGGGGCAGTGGTTCGGGCTCCTCCTCCAGTAGCCTCAGTGTGTCTAGCAGTTCATCCAGGGTAGCTCTGGCCCTGGCCTTGCTTCTGGAAGTGCCCAGCGCTCCCAAGTCCTCTCTGGCTCCATCCTGGGACGGGACATCCTATAGCAGAGAGGCAGGGAGGGAGACCAGCAAGGCTGGTGGAGACCAAGAGCTGCCCCACATACAAGGCCCACCCAGTGCGGAGGGGCAGTGGTCAGCGCATCCATGTAGCATCTGATACACATCGGGAGAAAGGCCCCGCCCAGTCTCACGCTGAGCAGCCTGTGGCCTTGCTCCCCTTTGATGGGAAGGGACACAGGAATCCTTCCCCAGCAATGTGAACTCCTAGCAGGATTCCAGAGCAATTCTGTGAGACCTCACCCCGGCGAGATCACCAAGCTGCTACCTGGCATCAAACAGGTGCCCTCTGGGCACCCTTCCAGGACACAAGGAACCCCAAAACTGAAGAGAGGGCAGGGGAACGGCAGCTTAGGTCACCCAGGCATGGACATTGCCCCAAAGCCAAAATCAGAGGGGAAAGGAAAAGGCACTATGTCCAGACCTGTGGCTTGTCCTCTGGAGGCTGCTGGGGCTCTGGGGATGACTCAGAGACAGGAGGGCAGGGGTCTCCAGGGCCTGTGGGGCAGATGCTGGCATCTGTAAAACCAAACACTGTGTCATCTCTCCTGGGGCCTAAACATGGAGATGCCCCGGGAAGGAGTCTGGTATAAGCTCAGAGACACTGAGGGGTCCCCCGGCCTTCCAGGGTACAAAGTTGAGGGGAACGGGCACAATCCCACAATGCCGGGCTTCAGGTGAGAGGCCCCACTGCCAGGATGATCTGTCGAGGCCTGGGCACTCTCCAGTCCAGCGCCACAAGTGACCCAGGCAGAAGCAGGCGGGGAGCAGGCCAAGATCCCAGTTCTGCAGGGAGAGTCACAAGCCTGGCCACACGAGGCCCGAAGCCCAGCAGAGTGCGCAGTTTCTCCCACAATCGGGTAGACTGAGAACCACTCACGAGCATTGTTGGCCTTGGGGGCCTGGTGGGTGCCACTGCCTGGCGCCAGCGGTGGCTCCTGGGTGGGTGGAGGCTGTCCTAACGCTCTGGTCTCGGGTCTGTCCTTAGACAGCCTGCGCTCAGCCTCGCTGGCCTTCTGGGCTCGTTTCTGCTGTAGTTCCTGTCAGAGTAGAGCCGCATGACCCCTTACCCTCCGCAGCCCACCTGCCCTGAGGCTCGGTGTTACCAAGCACCGGTGTCACGCAGAATGGGCCGTGGGCTGCTACCTGGGGTATCTGGTACCTGAATGGCTGCCTGCCTGGCCCGGCGAGCCTTTTCCTCCCTGGCCTTCTTCCTTGCAGCCTCCTCCTGCCGGTGCATGTCCAGAAGGTTCCTGCTGCCCAGCCGTTGCCTCTGCCCCTGCCAGGGAAGCCGAAGCCATGAACTTTACAGAACTGGAGGATGACAGAGCCCTGGAACCAGCTGGGAGGTCTCCACAGGACCCTGAGAGTCATGGGAATCTGCAGGGTTCACTAGTGGAGAAGAAATGAGAGCCTAGGACACTGGACCTGCCACCTTGGCTCAACAGAGAGCCCCACCCTGAGATGCAGGGAAGCACAGCAGGGGTGACAGCGCTGTACCCCTCAGCCAGGAGCCGGTCTCCTGACACATCAACCCCAGCAGCAGCCTCAGGAACCAAGCAAGGCCCACAGAGGGGGTACGTGCCTGAGGGTAATCCCAGATCTGTCTTAACGACTCCACTGTGTGCTGTGAGACCCTGAGGACCCATGCCCAGCCCCTGGGTGAGCTTAGGTTGGCTTACACAATCACACTGACCTCTCGCTTGGACGCCAGCAGGTGTTCAAGGTTTGCTGCTCCTGCGCGGTGCCTCTGTACCTGGCGGCGGTACCAGCGTTGGATGGTGACTGCGGCCTGGTTTACCTGGTGGATAAACCTGTCCAAAGAACCAGAGTCAGGATCAGAAGGGGTCCCCAAATCCCTGTGCCCTAGAACAAGAACCTGTTAGTCAAGAGTCCATGTGGAAAGAAACACCGGAGGCTCACACAGTCCTTTCCCACCAGGCTAGGATGTGGAAGGCCAGCCCCTCTGGACTCCTTTCAAACCTAAACCCACCCTCCTGCTAAGCTGCCTGGCTGGTTTTGTGCTTATCATCAGAAAGGGAAAATGGCCAATGAGAGCTGACCACAGGGTGAACAGGGATGATTCCAGGCCACAGGATACTGCTCGGGAGCAAGGGCAAGCACCTGTGAGTCCTGTTAAGCACAGAAACCCTGGGGCCGCAGAGAGGCCAGAACATCAGAGCACATGACAACAGGTCAGTGGCTGCTGAGGTCAGGGCGGACCAGGAGATACAAAGGGTGGGTGGGCCGGGCGGTGGTGGTGCTCGCCTTTAATCCCAGCATGAGGGAGGCAGAGGCAGGTGAATCTCTGTGAGTTCGAGGCCAGCCTGGTCTACAAGAGCTAGTTCCAGGACAGGAACCAAAGAGCTACAGAGAAACCCTGTCTCTAAAAATCCAAAAAAGAAAAAAACAACAAACAAACAAACAAAGGGTGGGTGGGCTGAGGGAACTGAGGGAAGATGAAATAATCTATTTTAGTGCTGTTTGTTTATTTGTTCTTTTTTTTTTTAAGGCAGGGTCTATGTAGCCCAGGCTGGCCTTGAACTGGCAGATCCTCCTCCTCTGCCTCCAAGAGCCAGGATTAAAGGTGTGCGCCACCCACGGTCTCTTATTTGTTTTTTGAGATGGTCTCATGTATTCCACCTGGCCTCAAATTCACCATGTAGCCGAGGATGGCCTCAAACTCCCGATTCTCCTGCCTTTACCACGTGGCCTCAAATTCACCAAGTTGCCGAGGATGGCCTCAAACTCCCCCGATTCTCCTGCCTTTACCACCGAAACGCTGGGAGTGCGAGCACGCACCACCACACATGCTTGTCAAGTGGGTACATCCTACAACTGAACCCCACGGGCTGGGAACAGAGCTCAGTGTTGTATTCCTGCTGAGCACGTGCAAGCCTCTGGGTCTCAGCCCAGCACTAGAAGAAAACTGATTAAACAAAAACCCGTCAATCCTGACAGAGGGCCAGGAGCGGATCCATTTACCACAGATGCCAGCAGAGGTCCAAGTGTTTTCGGCTGCCTGCAATAGCAGAGCTGGCTGTGGAACAAGGCACAACCACAGAGGAACACCAAGATGGAGCTTTGGGGAGCCCACGGCACCCCCCATTGTCTACTCGCAGGACCCCTCCCCTATACTCAGTCTTGAGTCACAGGCCAGGTAGGTGGTCTGGGTGGAAGTCCCGAGACCACCTGGGAGGCTCCAGTGCAGCTATTCACCCACTAAGGGGGCCTGGCAGGGAGCTACCAGACCTCTCCGCCTGTGCCCACCCCTGTAGCCCCAGGGGGCACCAAGGACAGCCCCACAGGCAGGTGTTTTTGTTCTGCTCCTTCTTTTATCTTCTTTCTGCTAAATGTGTTTTTAATTACCAGTTCTACCGAGGTGCAATTACCACACTATAAAACCCTCCCGTTTGTGGCGTACAATTCAATGCTCTTTACAGCAAATTTACAGGGTTGTGCAGCCATCAGCACAATCCAATTCTAGAACATTCCCATCACCCTAAGAACAATCCCTGTGGTATCCTGGTTCCTGCCAAGTCCCAGGCAACCGCAGCCCCCACTCCCTGCTACATAACCATCTTGTCTTTGCCTTTTATACACATGGAGTCTCAGCAAGTGTGGCCTTCCCATCCCTGTTGTCTAAAAACCATCAAGTGGAAACACTGATCACCGGAATCATAGGTACCAAACCCTTGCCCCTTGCCCCCGACCCAGAAGTCACCTCTCAGCTTCCTCCTCCGTCACCTCCTTCCGCCTCAGCAGGCCGGTGGCGCCCCTGATGGAGTGGTTGGCGCCAGAGAAGTTCTTCCGCGGCTTCCCAAAGTCGCTGCCCTCGCTGCCCTCGCGGGCTGCAGCCTTGATGAGGTTGCTGACAGAAAGGGAGAGAAAGGACCCTGACTCTGTCCCCCGCTCCGGGCAGGGTCCCTGAATCATCCCATGGCTCCAAGACTGGAGAAGACCCACAGGCCATGGTGCCCAGAACACCCTGCATCCCCAAGTCCCACTGACTGCCACCCCAGTAAATGTTAAAACAGCAAGAGGTTCTCCATATAGGTGTCCAGAGCCAGACAGATTCAAGAACTCTGAGGGTCACTGACTCTAAGTAAAGCCCTGGCAAGGGTACAGGGCTTCTCTGCTGCTTGGTTACCCCAAACTGTGGTCCCTTTCTGGTTCTGTGTGTGGGCAGGGGCTTCCTTCCAGGGCTCCACCCTGAGCAGAGACCTGGCTTCCCCAGTCAGCCGCTTGTTCTCCCTAGGGAGCTGCTTTAGCCCAGAAGGGAACGGCACCATCACTGAGAGCCAAGAGCCCTGTCACAGGCCAGTATCCCTGCGCTCACGCTGCGCACCCTACCTGGGGCCCAGCCCACCCCACATGCTTCCTGCATGCACGCAGGCAGGCCTTACTTGAGGGAAGGGGCTGTCTGGTTGGAGCTCTTGGGGGGTGACACCTTCTTCAACGAGCCATAGTGGTTATGCACCATGGTTGTGACACAGTTGCCCACGGCACCTTTGTTGCTCCTGCCGGAGAGATGGGGGGAGGACACGATCAGGCTTTGTCTGCAGCACACGCGGATAGAGAAACTTGGTGTGTACCGCGGCAATGATCAAGCACCCCCAGGATCCCATGGCCTGCACCCCAGTGGCCAAGCCTTTTTTGGGTTAGAAAAGCCCTTTCTTGTACCCAAAGGAGGGGGATGGTGTCCCCTGACTCCCAAGGTCAAGGGACACACAACTGCTTTGTAGGTGGCCTAGCGTGTGTTTTCTCCTGTGTTTTCTCCGGTGGCTTCTCCTGTCTACCAGGACCTCCCATCTTGGCTGCTGCTCTCAGACAGGTTTGATCTGTCATGTCCCTGCTGGGCCTGACCCCAAGACAGCACAGCTCTGATACAGGCTCACTCTTCCTTGGCAGGCAGGTTGGGAGCCCCGAGGTGACACAGGCCCACCTCCCCAAACCTGATGCAGCCTCCAAGTCAGGTACAGCAGGCCCTGAGGGAGCCTTCTAGACCTGAAATTTCTGGAAAGCACAGCTGGGTGACTCTGGCCTCTAGAAGGAAGGAAGAGGGGCATTCCCGAAGGTCCCTTCTGTGCAGGATACCACCTGAGAGCCCCTCCGCCACTCAGTCACTGATTCCCCCAGTCATCACCAAGTAGCTTGATCCAGCCACATAAAGGACAGGAACGACAGAGCTCCCGGACCAGGAGTGCCCGGTGGAATGATACCTGTTGTTAACGGTGAAGCTGGGAGCCAGGGTACATTCCTTCTTCCGTGGGCCCAAGGCAGAGTCAAGGGTACTGGGACTCTGGTCATTGGCTGGCAAAGCAAAGCCCCTGGGCTGGTCATCCTGTGGACCACACAGACACTTCTCAGCCTGGGACACTGGGGACACAGCCCAATACCAACAGAGGGCCCTTAGCTGCGAAGCCCAGTGTCGGGATCAAAGCTCACCAAGCCCGAGACACACTCTCTCTGCGGCTGCTGCCCCTTTCTTTGCAGAGGCGGGAAGAGTGTGGAAGGAACCGGATGGTGGTCCTGGCGAGAATACCAGGACTCACGGCTGCCACAATCAACCCTTACCAGGACATTCCACGAGGCTCCCTTCTCACTGGGTGCCTTGCTGAGACTGGCCACCCTCCTTCTTCCACTGGTACCACCCTCAAAGAGCATCAGGAAGTCGCTGGGCTCTGCTGGCCTGTGTCAAAAGAGAGGTCAGCACACACAGTCAGCCATCAGAGATGCCAGGAAGGAAGACAGGCCTGCGTCTTACAGAAAGTAGGAGGGCATGGCTTCAGGACAGGAGTCTGGTCTCAAGGCCGGTTTATGAGCTGTTTCTTAGGGGCTGGAGAGTTGGCTCAGAGGCTAAGAGCACTTGCTGCTCTTGGACAGGACCGAGGAGGTTTGGTTCCCAGCACCGACACAGAGGCTCACAACCCTTTGTAACTCCATTTCCAGAGAGTCGGACACCTTATTCTGGCCTCTGTGGGCAGCAGGCACAAACGTGAGCACATATACTCATATAAATGAACCTGATGGAAAGTCCAGGCTGTGCACAGGGAGGCACGCTGCAGCCATGCTTAGGCGAAGCACGGGCGCTATCGCCTCGAGCCTGGAAAGCACGACACTCAGGGAAGGGCCAGACACCAGAGGCTACGCTGCGTCTGACTCTGGTTATGAGAACGTCCCAGGGACAGGATGCAGACTGTGGCTGGCAGGAGCTGGAGAACACACACGGCCTTAGCAGACCTGGAGTAATGAGCTCTCTCGACAGGACACTGAAACCAGAGTCTGGCTCAGTAGCAGAGCGTTTGCCTGGTGCCTGCATGGCCCTGGGTTCCATCCCCAGCACCAACAAATTAGCACACCTGTGAGGTGCCCTCGAAAGGTGAGCTGTGCGGCACAAGAGCTACATCCCGACAAAGTGGACAGGCAAAAAGCAGCAAAGGTGGCACCCCCAGCTCTAGGCTGTCACGTCCACACCCCCAGCTCTAGGCCGTCACGTTCACACTCCCAGCTCTAGGCTGCACGTCCACACCCCCAGCTCTAGGCTGTCACGTCCACACCCCCAGCTCTAGGCTGTCACGTCCACACCCCCAGCTCTAGGCTGTCACGTCCACACCCCCAGCTCTAGGCTGTCACGTTCACACCCCCAGCTCTAGGCCGTCACGTTCACACTCCCAGCTCTAGGCTGCACGTCCACACCCCCAGCTCTAGGCTGTCACGTCCACACTCTATAGGGTAAAGTGAGGGATGGCAGTCAGTTCCCAGAAGGCCCCTTGGCTGTGGCCTGTCTCTTCTCAGCCCAGACATACCCCTGCCAAGACCGCCACACTGACGGACTGTTACAGACGTCACGCAGCGCCCCTGACAAAGACCGAGACATGGTATTGGCATCACCAGCCATGTTTCCAGGCTATAGAAGGTGGTACCACAAAATCCACTTCCCTGTGGAGAGGGGTGGACTCACTCTGCATGAACACACAAGGCAGGGAGGTAACAGGGGAGGGACAACTTGTCCTGAGTCACAAACAGTGGAGGAGACTAGACACAGTGCAGTGCTGACATCCAGCAAGGCTGCTGGGCACAGAATCAACCCTGAAGCCCATCAGACTCAGGTGAAGAAGACCCAGCACACAACAGCAGCGATGTTAGGCCCTAGACCATCTAGTAAGAAAGATTCGGACTCTCATGAACACTTGGGCTGGTGGAAGATGGATCAGAGGGGACACGGGAGTGGAAACAAGCAAGGCTCTTCTCTATTTAATAAGCATGGGTACAGAGGACAGGAGACAGAATGGGGCCGGCACAGTTAGACACGAAGGGCAAGGAATAAGACATGGGGCTCTCCAGAAGCCATGGCACTACGGAGGCAGAGCACTGTGGTCTGAATCGGAAATGTCCCTCATGCATTCGGTCCCCACTTGTGGGTCAGCAGGCCCAGCCTTTCTGACATACTCCCACCAGGCGGACCCACTTCCTAAAGGTCACACTTCCGGTTCAGCATCCTCTTCCTCACCTCTTGTCGGCCACAGCCCACCAAGTTGCCATCCCAAGCCCCCACTGTCTGGTGACAGCCAAGCGGCACATTAGGAACACAGAGAATGGGTACAAAAGAGGGGGGCTGTTCTGTGGTGAACGGAGCCATGCTGGTCTTGGGAACCGGTGTGGGAACATTTGGATTTGGGGCTGTTAGGATGCTCTCAGCTGACCCAAAATGCAGATGTAGATAGCAACAGTAAAGACAGCTCCAGGGGCTTCAAATGGAAACAAGGACCTTGTGTCAAACAGAGGCTATCTGTGTTACACTGTAGCGACAGAGATGGCTACATTTTGCCCGAGTCCTGAAATCTTAGGCGAGGCTCAATTCAAAAACAACAGACTAGAGAAATTTCATGACCGCATAGCTGAGACTTTTAATCAGATTTACATTGAAAACTGGGGGGGGGGAGGCCTGCAGAAGAGTCTCAGGGATGCCCTGCCCCAAACAACCGGCTAGGGAGGCATTTTTCTGCATTTGGCTGCTGAGGCCCTATGAAATCCAGATACACCTGGAGTTGGCAGAACTTGGTGCTGGCCGCATGGTGTCAGTATTATAGCATGCGGAACGCAAGAGTCACAACGGTCAAGGAGGCTGTGTGAAGTGAGGGTGCATGCGGCACTTGAGCCAGCTACGTATGAGGACATCATGGTGAAGACTAGGTTGCAGTGTGGACCCAGAATGTGTGTCTGGGAACCAAGCCTTTTGAAGTCCAATTGAATACACTATGAGCCCCCAATTCCAGATATGGCTGCAAGACTTGCTATCTGCCCTGCTGGGTTGTGGTTTGCACTGCTGTGACTGTTTCTTGCTGTGCACTTCCATTTTGGAATAGGGATTTTTTTAAAAAAAAGATTTATTTATTTTTATTTATTTATTTATTTATTTATTTATTTATTTATTGTGTATACAATGTTCTGTCTGCATCTGTGCCTGTCCACCAGAAGAGGGCACCAGATCACTTTATAAATGGCTGTGAACCACCATGTGGTTGCCAGGAATTGAACTCAGGATCTCGGGAAGAGCAGCCAGTGCTCTTAACCTCTGAGCCATCTCTCCAGCCCTGGAATTGGAATCTTACTCTGTGCTCTCACGTATTAGATATATATAACTTTTTTTTTTTTATTTTACAGGAGCTCACAGTTAAACTTAGAGCGACTTTTAAAATTGAACTGAATCCAGGCAGTGATGGCACACGCCTTTAATCCCAGTACTTAGGAGGTAGAGGTAAGCGGATCTCTGTGAGTTCAAGGATAGCCTGATCTACAGAGCAAGTTCCAGGACTGGTTCCATAATTACTGGGAAATCCTGTCTCAAAAAACTAAATAAATAAATAAAGTTGGACTGAAAGCATTTTATATGAGGACACGGTCAGGAACCTACGAGGATCAGGAGAGAGACCGTGGCTTAAGTGATGTGTTTGGCTGTCACGCCACTGGGGGGTGGAGCTGTGCTAGGGTTTGTCATCAGCCTGACAAAATTCACAGTCACCTGGAAACCGGGCCTGTGAGCCTGACCGTGTGAGATTATCTGTGATCCATTAATGGGAGGGAGGGAGACAGGCCCACACCTCCTTCCCAATGTGGGTAGCACTGCTCTGTGACTGGGATCCTGAACTACACGCGTGGAGAAGGGGCTGAGAAGCAGGCATCCGTTACCCTCCTACAGTTGCAAAGGTGACGTGACCAACTGCTTCAGGCTCCGCTGTAGTGATGGACTGGACCACTGCACTGTGAGCCAGAATGAACACTTTCTTCTTTAATGGCTTTCGTCAGGGTATTTTAAGAACCAACAGGAAAGAAACAAAGCCAGACATTCAACTGCTCACACAACCAGGCCTGCTCTCCACCAGCTCGAGAAGGGCAGGTATGTCCGCAAAGGGTTTCCTGGATGTCATTTAATAAATATAACCACAGAACACACACATGCATGCATGTACACAGACAGACGCAACCACACTCACCACACACACACACATGCAGGCAGACACACACACACGGGCAGACACGCACGCACACTACACGCAACGAGCCCACTACTAACACCACGCAGCTGCACATTCATAACTCCACCCACACCACGCAAACACACCACAAACTATGAATGCTCACGCCACACACGAAGCATAATCCACCAACCCACATGCCACAGACATGTGCATGTATGCATCCCGCGTCTGGCATTGTCGCGTGTGCCCACCCGACACCCTCAGTAGATCCTGTGTTTTCAGCCACCGGCAATCCGGCAGAGTGGACATCCTGAGTATGGCACACTGTGGCACACTGTACCAGCAACAGTCCCAGACTATTCTCTGCTACGTCCACCCTGGCCCCCGAGGTTGCTGCCTGGTGGACACTGAGGTGTTGAGGACGCCTGCATCTGTTGTCCCCGCGGCGGGGGGGGGGGGGGGGGGGGGGGCGGGGGGGGGGGGGGGGGGGGGGGGGGGGGGGGGGGGGGGGGGGGGGGGGGCTCATCTCTGTTGGCTCAGAACCTACGAGCATACGATTGAGTCTCACTGAGTCTCACACTGCTTGGGAACGGTTCATGCACGAGGGCCTTGCTGGACCCTCTCAGCTCAGTAGCACTGGCCACTGCTGGCTCTCTGCTGGCCTTCCCAGCACTGACGTTCCAAGACAGCCTCGCTGGTTGAAAACAGGCACGGGGTCCGATGGAAGGTTCAGAAATGTTCCAATATTGATGCCTCCTATTAACAGTGGATTTGACATCCAAAGGCCAAGAGAGGCTACCGCTGAAAGATGTGGAGATAAAGACCCACAAGCAACCTCACTTGCATAACCAAACTCACCGAGTTCTATTGAGAAGGTAGGACAGAGAAGAGATGGAGGAGCAGGCGGGACCAACCCAGAGGGCCCAGGATCTGATGTTCAGCACAGATGCAGCAGAAGAGGATGAATGCTCTTAGCTGCCCCCAACCCTCCTAGCTCAAAAGAACAGCGTGGGCCACCAAGGCCAAACAGTGTGAAGGTCACTAGACCCCACTGCCCAGCAGAGACCATGGCCGGTAGAGCTGGAGGAAGAAGAGGGGTAACTGGAGGTTGTGGGTGACCCGGAGTCGCAATAGATTACCTGGGGGAGCCGGTCCATGACTGGTTGACCTGCGTGGTGCTGTTAGATCTTCGAAGATTGTTGATAGCCCGAGAGCCCCCAGGCCCCGTGGCCTCCTATAGAAGGGAAAAAAAGAGTCTAGTTAGTAGAGAAGACCTTAGACACTTGCCAGGATGCTCAGCCAGACCAAGCCTTAGAGAAATCACTGGGGAACAAAAGAAAGCTCTGGGTTCCAAACCAGCTGGGAGTCTCTGAAGGTGGAGAAGGTCACAGGACAGGATGGGCAGTAAGCAGTGTGAGGCCCAGCGATCAGTGGGTGTGTGACGCTGGGCCCCAGCCTCTGAGAGCCCTTCGCCCCTGCAGCAGGGAGGGCCCAAGAAGAAGCACAGGGCCCGACTAGGACCTGTGTGCTGTGCGCCTCTGCTGTCATCAGCGGTTCGCTTAGCGCTCTCAAGAGGTGGAAAAGCTGCATTGCAGGGACAGGGAGCGAAAGAAAGCACAGCGGAGCATGCGCCGTCTGCAGGCCAGGGCGACTACGGGACCCTAGCAGCAGGCTGACCTCTCCCTTCTCTGGCCCTCTGCACTTTAAACAGCAGCACCTCTGACCGACCCTTTTGTTTCTCCCCCCTGGTTTTCTAAGACAGGGTTTCTCTGTGTAGCCCAGGCTGTCCTGGAACTCGTTCCATAGACCAGGCTGGCCTTGAACTCACAGAGATCCATCCACCTGCCTCTGCCTCCCAAGTGCTGGCCTGCCACCACTGCCTGGCCTGACCTACTGTTTATAATACGGAATTGCTGAATATATCAACAGGCAGCATCAGCACCACAGCAGCTGGTTCAGGGATGCCCCCCTTTCTTTTCCATTTTCCTGATGGCAGGTTTATGTTCTTCACACCAAGGAAAGAGGTGAGCCTTGTGCTCACCAAAGTGGAGAAGAAGTGTACGTTAGATAAACAAGGTCATGAGCTACACACCTGAAATGCCTACTGACTGACTTGACGCCTCAGGTCCCTCCTCCACTGCAGGAACCTGTCCAAACCAAAGGTCCTCTACGGGATGGCTCTCCCTATCCCAGAACTCAGCCTGAGCAATGTAGGCCTACCCCACCTGACACAGGGAAGGTTCTTTCAGGAAGTTGGGGGAGGTGAGCCTTTTATCTAGGAAGGAAGCTCAGACTGTCAACCAGCCCTTCACCTTCAGCAAGGACCTCTTCTCAGGTAGAGTCACAGATGGAGGCAGCATCCAGGCCAGGCCCAGGCTCCTCCCTGTTCTAGAAGTTCAGGCCAGACTCAGGCACAGACCTGGTCCCCAAAGGACTTGGCCTGGCTAGAATGCTTATCAGACAGCAGCTTTAGGTGGCAGGAGTCCAGCTTGGCCACTCATGGTCACCTTATGGATCTCTGAGTGACACCCTGACCCATGTCCCACAGGAACAGGGGAAGGAAAGGTAGCTGTCCCCAGAGCCCCAGTTCCTGCCCATCTGTCACCCTCCCAGTGGTCCCCCGACTCAGAGAACCTAAAGGCAGTAGAGTAGCAAAGGCAGGATCCGATGACAGAGGATGAGGATGAGGGTCTGCCCCAGGGCAGCTCGCTAGGCTTGTGTGGGCCAGTCCTCCCTGTCCACAGGATGACCATGGATATGACACAGATGCTCTGGTGAGGAACCAGAGACCAGATGCCACCCCAAAAGGGCCTGGCTCCCACACTCACCAATGCTCTTTTCCTCGGCTCACTGCCCGTGACCACAGACACGGATCGGACGATAGACTTGGTAGCAGAGGCACTGCTGGGCCGCTGGGACACGGGCGGAGGGAGCCCAACCAGACTCAAGTCCATACCTTCTGGGCTGCCTTCGGGGGGAGCACTAATGGTCCGTGAACCTTTCATGGTGGACCAGCTGGCCCTGAGAGAGAAACAAAGAGACATCACCGTAGGGGCCAGGGATGTGGCTTAGGCTAATCTCCAGCATGGTGTAGAGCCAGGTATGATGGGATATGTATGTAATACTGGTGCTCAGAGGTGGGGGAGGAGGACCAGAAATTCAAGACGATTCTCAGATATATAGTAAATTCAATTCAAAGCTAGCCTGGGCTACATAAGACCTTGTCTAAAAACAATGGGGGTGGGGCTTAGAGACGCGACCTGGTGAGTGCCTGCCGCTCTTCTAGAGGGATACAACCAAACATGCATTTTAAAATATGGCAATTATACCTGCATATTCATATTTTTTAACAAAAGATAGTCCCTGTTCCTATTTTACAACCTCCTAATTCATTAAACCTGGTAACTCCAGGACCAGAGGATCTGACGCCTACACTATATATAATCCTGCCTGGTCCTGCCATGCCTACCCCACCACAGAACAGGGCTCATGGGTGTTCTGTGGTCTCTGGTCTCTTCCACACGACATCTCTGATCCAGCCACTGGGTCCTTGCCTTGCACAAGTCAAGCAGCCCTAGCTGGCCAGGGCTCAATCTCACATCAGTCAGTGGCATTGTCCTGAACTGTGTCTAGCTTATTCCACACCCTAGGGGAAACGGATTCTCAAGACAGCAGAATAAATCTGAGCACCTGGCATGTCCAGCTCTGACCCTGTCCTCTGCACCCGCTCCCCAAAACTAGGTAGTGCATCCCAATACACCTCTGCACCTGCAATCCCCCTGCCTCCACACTGCCCATGGGGTTTCCTTCTATCAGACTTTGCTCTCTAGGACACCCTTGAAAGGGCAGGGATCGGGTGGGCTCAGCCCCTGGCATGTGGGGCGCACTGAAGTGGTGAGTTCTCAGGTGAGAGATAGGGACACGGGGCACATGCTAAGTGATTGGACACTTGCAGAGCCCAAGGGTCAAGAGCATACACTCACTATGGTCCAAAACGATGCTGCCTTGGTCCTGACATTCTGGTGTGTGTGGCGCGGGGCAGTGTCCCTACTCTGAGGCTGTCCTGCCATCAATCTGGCCAGCATCCTCAGTTACACATTTCTGGTTGTGTGGGTGAAACCTAACACCTTCCCCTTCTTGGCACTGGTCACACCCGGGTGGACTCTGGCTGGCTCCTGAGCTGATGGACATGGCTTTCCCAACCCCTCGTGCAGCCAGTGAGGTTCCGGGCGGTAAACATAGCCTCTCCCTGGAAACCGCAAAGCCAGATTAAGGGGAGGCTGGGGAGGCCAACCTCACCCTGGACAAAACCGTGCCGCAAGCCCGCAGGACCCAGGGGGGCAGGAGCCTGCTCCCAGGCCCTCGGGGGGCAGCTGACCCCCGAGCAGGGCCCTTGAGCAGTCCAGTGCTGCGCTCCTCCGCAGGCAACCCGCATCTCCCAGGCCTCTCGGGGTTTGAGGCAGGAGTTGCGGGCCGCCTGAATGAACCCCATGACGATCTCCCGGGGAGAGGGGTACTGCGCACAGGCCATCCTCGCTGCAGGGCCCGATCTCTCACCGCGCGATGCCCCTCACCTGCGCGGGCCCGGCCTGGGGCGCAGGGCTCGTGGGCTCGGCCTGGCGGGTACGACTGCAGAGCAACCCGGGGCCCCACGGGGCTGGCCTCGGCCGTGGGTGACAATAAAGAGGCGTCCGCAGGGGCGAGTGGCGGCGGCTAGCAACCAGCCTGGCGCCTCCTCCGCTGTCTGTCACGCCGGCCCGCCTTTACAACGCGCGCCGCTCGGGGATTGGCTCTCCGGGCGCCCTCGGCTTGTCCGGCAGCTCATTGGGCCGCTAGGCTGTCCTGTAAGTTCCGGCGTGGGAGGAGCAGCCGAAAGCTAAGGTGGAGAGGAGGCTGGCGGGGGGCGGGGCTTCGCGGGGGCGGAGCCTGCGGGCTCCTGCACCTCCAGAGGCTGGGGTTCTAGAAAGCCAGGCTTCCCGCTTCACCCTGTGTCCTCTCCCGGGCCTCTCTGGACCACGAGGTGGTGTCTGTTTTCGCTTCTTCCATTCTTTCCTAACTGCTTTCAAAAATGCTTGCCGAGTCTCCAGTGGCTCCACTCGGTGCCAGGTTTGCAGCTGTGGGCTCTCCTCCCTTTGCCCAAAGGTCTCAGGACACCGAAGCTCAGCTGCCCGGTTCAACAGAAGTTAGTTAAATAACAAGTTTATAAATTCAAATGCTTAAAAAGATTATCCGTATATAGTTATTGATTTGTGTGCGCGCGCGTGTGTGTTTGGGATGGTGACCCAGGGGCTTGCACATGCTGAAGAAGGGCTCTGCCACTGGCCTCAGCCAAGTTTGCTTTAAGAAAGGTCGCGGGGTGGTAGTACACGCCTTTAATTCCTGCACTTGGTAGGCGGATTTCTTGAGTTTGAGGCCAGCCCCGTCCTCAGAGAGAGTTCCAGGACAACCAGGATTACACAGAAAAACCCTGTTTCAAAAAGAAGAAAAGAAAGAAAGAAAGAGAGAGAGAGAAAGAAAGAAAGAAAGAAAGAAAGAAAAAAAGGTCTCATGTAGCTCAGCATGGCTTCAAACTCACCACGTAGCTGAGAATGATGCTGAACATCTCCCAAGTCTGGAATTACAGGCAAAGTGCCACCACACCTGGCCTTTGCGTTCTTTCTTCTTCCTCCAACTCCTTTTAAGATTTATTATGTAGCCAGGCGGTGGTAGCAGCGAATGCCTTTAATCCTAGCACTAGGGAGACAGAGACAAAGTCTGAGTTTGGGGCTAGCATCAGGACAGGCTCCAAAGCTACAGAGAAACCCTGTCTCAAAAAAAAAAAAAAAAAAAAGTGTATGTATTTTACCTGCATGTATGTCTCTGCACCGAGTTGAGGGTGCTGGATCCTGAAACTGGGGTTAATGGATGGTTGTAAAATTTTATGTGGGTGCTGGGAACCAAACTCTGGGTCCTATGCAGGAACAGTGTATGCTTTTAAACATTGGTGGCTTCTTTGTTAACAGAAAGCTTTGAATTCTACATATTAACATTTGCCTCCTTCTGTTGCGGTAACCATGCCATCCGCTCAGACGTAGTCACTCTTCCTCCTCCGCGTGCAGCCCTGTGGGGTCTGTCTCACGCCCCACTTCCCGCACATAGTGTCTTCCTGTCACCCCACCGGGAAGCTCTGGGGCGCATGCTGTTGCCGCTCTCCCCAGTATTCCAGCCCGTGATGACGTTACCTTTCTTATCTCTAGAATGACCCAGGGTTTCATCCATGTTTGAGTAAATAAGATGGAAGGGGGTGAGGACACCGACCAACTTTTGTATAAAGATAGCTTTTCCCTTGTCTGCACAAATTCCTAGGACAGGAATCAGTGCTATTTGAGTTGTTTTCCAGACCCTGCATGGCCGGTGCCACGTGAGCTCCAGCTGGTGTGTGCCCCTCAGCTCTTGGAGGTTGGGATCTTGTTCTTTTAGTCCATTAACAGGCGAGCAGTTGTAAGTCACGTGGCTTAGCTGAGCTACCTGCTTAGATGGTGATGATCTATGTGTGCCCTTACCTGCCATGCTTCCAACACATTCCTGCATACGTCTGTCCAGATCTTCTATACACTGTAATCTGGGTGGTTTTCTAGTTTGAAGTTCCTATGTGTATACGCACTCACACCACAGGATCCACGTAGAGGTGTGGGGGTCAGTCTAGGTTCTCTGGGGCCACGGAATTCACAGAACAAATTAATCTTTCTTTCTCTCTCTCTCTCTCTCTCTCTCTCTCTCTCTCTCTCTCTCTCCACACACACACGCACACACACACACACACACGTAATTTATTGGAATAATTTACAGGCTGCTAGTCCAACAATGGCTGGCTGTGAATGGAAAGCCCAAGAATCTAGCAGTTGCTCAGTCCCACGAGGCTGGTGTCCCAGCTGCTCTTCTGTAGATGCTGGGATCCTGAAGAAGTGGACTCCAATCTGAGGGAATGGATGTGCCGGCAAGGCAAGCAGGCAGAGAGAGAAAGCTTTCTTCTATATCCTCTGTAAACGTCCAGCAGAAAGATGGCCCATATTAAAGGCCTGCGTCTTCCCTTTTCAAGATCAGGATCATGCCGAGTGGCAGGGTGGTGGTAGCATACGCCTTGAATCCCAGCACTCAGGAGGCAAAGGCAGGAAGATCTCTGTGAGTTCCGGACAGCCTGGTCACAGAGTGAGTTCCAGGACAGCCAGGTCTGTTATACAGAGAAACCCTATTAAGAAAAACAAACAACCAAAACAACAACAAAAGATCAGGATTAAAGTCCTCTGTCTTCCCACCTCAGAGGTCTGGACTAGAAGTGGACTCAACCACTTCAAACCAGCAGAAAATTTCCCACAGGTTCGGGAGAAAATCTCCACTATTCTGGATTGTACCTCATTCCAGAGAAGCTGACAACCAAGAACAGTCAGCATAGCTCAAAGTGACCCTCGTTTTCCTTTTCCACCACGCAGGTGCCAGGCTGTGCGCAGGGCAAGCTCCTTTACCAGCCTGGCATTGCAGTGACCCGTGTTCTTGACAAGTTTTCACGTTGGTCTGTGTCTGTGTGAGACATCTGACTGCCCTAGAACTCCCTCTGGAGAGCAGGTTGACTTCAGATCCACAGAGAGCAGTCTCTCTGCCTCCTGAGGGCTGGAACTAAAGGGGTGCACCACCACAGAGTGTGTCTGATACTTAGGCTAAGGCTCACTTTAAATCTGAGGGGTGGACCAAGGCGTTTTAAGACTTTTTTACACATTGACAGCTCCAGCCCCACTACTGGAAGGCACTACCTCATCGCTGAACTCCTGCAGCTGCAGATAGCCACCTGACTAGGAGTGTGACCCACCGAGCGGGCACCTAACACCCCAGGCTCCACCTCCAGAATGTGAATGCTGTTGTTGACCCTATTTGTGTAGATCTACCATCTTGTTGAAGACCGGTTGCTAGTCTTGGCGAGCATAGCTGTGGTAAACCAATCAGCCACAGGAGACCCTCACCGTATCCGTTACCGTATCTCACAGGAGGGGGGAGGACCGCAAGCACCTCCCCCAACCTGTCATCAGCAGTTACTTGGAAAAACACTCCAGCGGTTCCCACGAGCGTTCCTCTGCTCTTGCAACCCCGATTGGACCCCCCCCCCCGCCATTCACCAGCTGAACCTGCGTGAAAATGTTTCTGTATCCAGGGTTAACAGAAAGACCCCCAGAAAAAGCCACACTGTAGAAGTAACATTCTGGGGCTGGAGAGACAGCTTAGAGGTTAAGAAGACCTGGGTTCGGTTTCCAGCACCATGAAGGCTCACAACTGTCCATACCTCCGGTTCTAGTAGATCTGACTCGCTCACGTGAACACACCCACAGGAAAACACCAATGCCCATGAAGTGTTTCCTGTAAACTCTGGTGTCTGTTCACTACATAAACATGAAGCTAGGACTACAGCTCAGGGGAACAGCACTTGTGTCTGAGACTCCGGTGGGGTTTGGGACAACACCTCACGTTCAAAGCTCATCCTGAAGTGGGATACCCACAGCTTCCGTTCACGACATCCTGTAGCCCCTTGAGGGTGAGCACAAAGCAATACCCAACACTTAAGGAGAAAACATCCGTCTCACTCAGGAAAAGGAGTCCCTGAAGTGCGCCCCTTATTAGTAACCACCAGTCAGAGCGGGCAGTGTAAACATTGGTGTTTATTGGGAAAGTGCACGCCGCTGCCTCACAGCCACTTCTGAGATGGACAGGAAGGTTCACTGGACTCTCCCAGGGTCTGCAGAAAACTGCTACAAGCTGAGCATCCAGAGCAGGGTCCGACAGGGACCCGACACTGGACACACCGCAGGGCACTTGGCTAAGGAAGCTGAGAACCAGACCTTTGGATCACAGGCACAACCCCCCAGTACCCTACCCTGAAGGCTGTGGCTCCCAGCTGCTGTGACCTCCCTGCAGGAGGATCTGAGGTCAGAACAGAGTCGATGTTTCCAACCCTGACAAGTGCTCACTTCTGAGGGGCAGGCAGGCAGGGCCTGCCCAGGGCACCCAGGTCAGCACCTCAGCCCTGCTACCTGCCAGTTGCTACCATAGGAACTCAGGTCCACACAGCCATCGCCAGCACCTAGCAAAGGTGCAGTCCGGACAGGGACTGAGGTAGCCGGGGCGAGGGAGGGATTGGCCTCTGTGTTTAGCCTTCTGGAGTCAGAGCAGCATGGGGCGGAGGCGCCGTGGCCAACAGCCCTGGGGAAGCCCTGCCCTAGAGCTGTACCACATGAAGCAGATAACTTCTGAGGTGGCTCCAGCATGGCAGACCTCTTGCCAGGAGGAGGAGGGAGGCCAATCCCAGGGGCATGGCCAGAGTCAACTTCCCAAGAAGCCACGGGGATCTAGACATCCTCTGAGGCACCAGGTGACCCTCTTTCCCACAATCCCATCTTAGCTGGTCAGCACTGAGGGCCCATGTCTTTTTCAGTGACTCTTCTGACCACTGGATGGCCCCACGGGGCGTGGCTGGCTCAGAGACTGCTTTACCGCAGCTTCCAGGTGAAAGAGAAGGGCCAGAGGGGGCGAGAGGACCACTCCGTGGTGGACACGAGGCCATGAGGTCCTCTCAGTCCTCAATATGAGGACCAGGGAACTCTGAACGGCGGGGCCCAGAGAGTCAGTCACATGTTTAGAAACGAGAAAGCAGATGGCTCCGTGGTCGCCTTCTGTGGACCGGGCTGGAGATCCTGCGAGCCAGGGCAGGGCAGAC